ATTATTATTGAGTTTTAATCTTGTTGTTAATGTTCCAATAAACGTTTTAAACAAATGAACAAATACATAAAAAGCACGGCATCTACATAAAGAACGAATATTTTTCTTTGTAGCCCTATCCTGATGTGTAAAAGTCACGGAACTGCTGCCTCCCTGCGTCCGCCTGCAGCCTTCCTTTCCCGGGATCCAGTGAGCCCTTCTTCCCGGTGGGTCTCCCGTGTAGTAGCGATGTAGTTCTTATCAAAGCCCTCCTGTCTTGTTGTGACAGCTCTGATAATGTTTATTGAGGTGGATGTCAGCTTTAATTAGCAATCGATACGAGGAGCGTTCGCGGAGCGCGTCTCTGACGTCAGCGCCCATTACCGCTTCTCATTGGGTCTCATATTCCCAGAGCCTGGGCTAATTATTGGGAGGTTCGTGTGGATAAAGTACAGCTCATCCTTCCCTTCACATCATGTCCCCCTCTCGTTGGCCACACTCGCTGCATGCTTTTTAAATTCCCATCACCGGCCTCCAGACGCGGTTTGCCTTTGCCTGCGGGATGATGGACAGCAGGATACTGGATCCACCTCACGCCCAGTTCGGAGGCTCTCTCGGCGGGATGGTGGGCTTCCCGTACCATCTGAGCCACCATCACGTCTACGAATTAGCAGGGCATCAACTTCAATCTGCGTCCGCGGTTCCTTTCTCAATAGACGGATTACTTAATGGCTCCTGCGCGGCGTCGGTGGGTAATTCCAACCCCCTCTTGTCTTCAGGCTGCGGGATGAATGGAGATAATCAGCAGTATAAACTGACAGGTAAGGCACAATTTACACAATGCCTTTCCTCAATGTTGGCCAAATGCTCAAAGACAATAAGAAAATACACAAAGGATGCAGGAATTGTTGCCTTCCATGTTTAAAGCTATTATCATGCATGCTCACCTCCCGCTGAATTATTCCAGCTGAAGATTTATCCAAGAAAAACAAAAGAAATCCACCAGAATAGCTTCTGTTTACATTCTTTCACTCAAAGAAGACAACAAGCTGCAGATTGCACCATGAATCGGGGATCAAGCATATATTTTTTAGCTTTAACTTCTCAAAATTTCACAAACGCAGACAAACAAACCCAGTCAGAAAAATACTAGAATGTATAGTTTAATTGATGAGAAATGGTCCTTACGCTTTGTTTACCTCTCATTCTGCTGCCAGACCCCGGGGACCCAGACAAAGACAGCCCCGGCTGCAAGAGGAGAAGAACTCGAACGAATTTCACTGGTTGGCAGCTGGAGGAATTAGAAAAGGCTTTTAACGAGAGTCACTATCCGGACGTGTTCATGAGGGAGGCTCTGGCTCTCAGACTGGACCTGATAGAGTCCAGGGTCCAGGTAAATCTGCATCCATCCTGTGCAGAGGTGGTCTTCGTGTGGCATGTGCATTCATGTGTATTTATTCAGAGCCAATCCATTTTTATTTATTATGTTTAAAAGACAGTATTCAATAATTTGCAGAGACAAAAATAGTTCTAATACTTGAAAATATTGTATTTATGTGATTTGTTATTTGATCTTAGCTAAAATAAATAAAGGCATTTTTTATTTAGGAAAAATGATTTTTAACAACTATAATTTTGTGAGAAATATATAAAATAAAAATTAATTCGAACCATAAATTCTGCAAAGTGGAGGACATGTCATAATTGAATTAACTGAAGAACAGCTAAAGTGTTGTATTATATAGATATTAAAAACTAAATTGTTATTTATGTGAAAAATATTGGGAAAAAAGTAAGATTTAAAAGCGTAATTGTTTCAATTTTAGTCAACATGTGGGAAAGTTTCATTTAAATCATTCTAACTTTTTAAAATAATTAACTATTATTTATCAACATCCTAATTAAAGGGCTGGAAAAACACAACTAGGAGTACCCTCTGTGTTTGTTTAATAACCAGCTCGTAAAGACGCTGACAGGTTTAATAATTTTACCTGCAGATGCAGCAGAGCTTTTCCTTTTAGTCATTCCCCTTTGTTGTGCTCTCTCAGGTCTGGTTTCAGAACCGCAGAGCCAAGTGGCGGAAAAAGGAGAACACAAAGAAGGGTCCGGGTCGACCTGCTCATAACGCCCACCCCACCACCTGCAGCGGGGAGCCCATGGACCCGGAGGAGATCGCCCGGAGAGAGCTGGACCGGCTGGAGAAGAAGAAGCGAAAGCAGGAGCGTCGGCTGCTCAAGTCCCAGAACAAACTGGTTTCTGGGGATTTGTTTCACACGCCGGGCTCAGACAGCGACAGCGGGGTGTCGCATGTCACCGACAGTGACCACAACACGTGCCCACCCTTTGACTCTGTGGGGGGGAACCCGTCCAGGTGCGAACTGACATCCCAAAACCAGAACCAAAGACACTTAGACCGGGACGCTAGTGGCTCCGAGCTGGACTCGCCCGACCCCTGCCACCGGTCAAGCACCACCAGAGCCTCTAGTCTGCAGAAACTCAACCCTTTCAGCGTGGAAAGCCTCCTTTCGGACTGCAGACCGAGACGCAGCCCCGCGGCCTTACCCTCCTCGCGGCCTTTGATCGGGAAGGGACACTTCCTGCTCTATCCCATCACTCAGCCGCTCGGATTCATTGTTCCTCAGACTGCACTGAAGACACCAACGACAGCGGTGAACGGTGACAGCGACGCCCCGGAGGACGGGAGCCAGCCCGGTGACGCGCGCTGCAGGAGCAGCTCTCCGGACTGCGCGCAAAAGGGACAGCTGGGGTCAGAGGACAAGACCAGTTCACCGCACATGAGCCCGTCCAGGGCCGCCTTTTCCAGTGGAAAACACTGCTCTGTTATTTGCAGCGACTCGACTTTTGAACACGACACGGACACAAAAGAGCACAATCCCAGCGACTGTCCTACACTAACAAACTCTAAAGGAGACATGGAATAAGGCAGCGCGTAAAAACAAAACAGAAGCAACAACCATCTTTCATTAGGCCAAAGCTTCACACCATAATCTGCTGATTTTTTAAATTCCCTCTTTTTTCAGTGAGTGTGAGAGAGAGTCAGGAGTGTCTAGATGTCCTTTAATGTGTGATGACTTGTTTAAAAAAACACAAGACCAACAAAAATCCTCAAGAGCTGTAAGAAAGGTATTATACTATTTATATATGTAAGGTTTTTCTTAAATAAATCTATTGTATACAAGCATTTGGACGCGTGTGAGATCTTAAATAGCAGCACATCCAGAGCAGGAAGCGCTTTCTTAAGGAGGAATCTCGTGTTGTACTTTGTATATTGCCTTAACAAATTTATTCATCTATAAGCCCCCACTGAAATGAGGTTACGAGCCCGAGGCGAAAAGGACCCGCTCGACTCCTGCAGAGTTTTGATATGAAAGTAATTATTTTCCCGGTGGCTACTGCAGGGGGATTCAGTTTATTTTAGCTCAAAGGGGGTTATAATACATTACCGATTTCTAGTGATATGAAATCACATAAACTTCCAAGAATAATAGAATTAGCATGAAAAGGCCTGGGTGTCAAATTGAAATAGGGAAATAATAGCCCCGGCAGCTGGGAGTGTGTGTGTGTGTGTGTTTGTGCATATTGGATGGGAGATGGGGATTCGTGGGGAGGCATTTTCATGAGCTTTTTATTTTTTTCTCCTCCTCCTCCTCTCTCCATCCTCCTTTTCTTCCCCTTCTCTCTCCACTCTGTCAGGACCCCATTGTAGCAGGGCTATATTAAGATAGATGTTCGATGATATCCCTCATTGTTCTGTCGCTTTACATTGATGTTTCTGTGTTATCAGCCTATTGATCACGCGCCGGCTGTAATGGGACGGGCTGAGGCAAACGTGCCTATTTACAATAGCAGAACACATTTGTTCTAATAGGGTTGGTGGTCCCCAGGGAACCCGCGCGAGATCTGGGACATCTGCTCCCTTTCGCAATATTAGCGGAGCTGACCACAATATCGAGGCGAGCCAAGGAGGAAACGTGGAAGGTAGAGCGTAAAATAGTGTTATAATACTATAAATAAATAAAAAACACCCAACCAGTTTCAGAGTTTCCATTGAGCCCTTTAGTGTTTTCTTTGGGTCTTGATTTGCAAATAAATTGAAAATAATCATGGGGTGCGCTTTACGCGTCTGGGCCGGCGCAAATGAATCCGCGCGCCGGTGTCCCTTTCCAAATATTTACATAAATTTCAACCCGTGCAGCTGTTTGCTCTGGGAAGTCACGTCTTATTAGGATGCAGGAGGTGGGGTGCGGGGGTTGGCCATCATGGCACGCGCAGTGATCACGCACAACACCAGGGGCAAAGGCTGCGGGTTAAAGGTGCGTTATAGGTGTCCGCTCCCATTTTTATAATGTCAACGATCTTTGGTTATTTTTCCTTCTGTTTGGTTTGCGTCACAAAACAGTTTTTATAATTCACAAAAAAGGCGCAAATTACTCCAAAAACGAAAGAAACCAGGTTTATTCCTTTACATCCACTGTATGTGTTTCCATGTTACACTCACGGGCTCTGTTTTGGGACGTATGCCCAGTTCATCCATAATTCATTAGCGCACTGAATAGGAGTATCGCTGGCTGCACATTGGTGGCCTAAAGGTGAAATTAGCGATTTGCTTAAGTAGTTAAGCTTTCCTTGCCTGAGAGCTGCACGCTGCATGATTCAAGACAAACTATCAATCGATATGCCCAGGCAGCCTCCAGGAGATGTGTCGTCCATGAATCATACTTTATGAATTCAATTTATACCCGCAGAAATTTTCAATTTGAACGCAGGATCATTATGGGAGAGTGTAAATTGTTTTTGCTCTATTATGCATCGGACGCCATCATTTTTCTTTCTAATTACGGAGGTGTCAGGTCGGGCTGTCATGCAGACGCTGATTTTCAATTTAACTGATCATCATGCATTCATTTTACCGTTTGATAAATCTGCTATCTGGAAGCTTCTCCATGCCCAGAATGCTAAAAGAGAGGCGCAGATTGGCAAAGTAATAGGGGCCTGTATGCGGCAATAAGTGCAGATCAGGCAGCTAATTTAGCACCTCCTGGTAATTCCATTTCCATTTCTCATTTCCAACTCTCAAAGGAGGAAAAGCAGCCCAAAGGCAGAAAGCTGGTAGGGTTCTCATATCAGGGAAAGACAGAAAAAAAAAATCCACCAAAACGGCTTGTTTTCAGCCAGGCGCTCCCTAAATTAGGATATCAAGCTTAATTAAGGCTAATAGAGTTTTCTTGGTGTGCGTTAGTTTTATTTAATAGAAACAAATTTGCGCAATTAATTACGCCACGATATTAAGAGTCTCGATTTCAGCTTTCGAGCTGCAGCTTAAATGAGCATCTTCAGGAATAAGCCTCTCATTTCCAAATGATAAACAATATGTTTTGATTTGGGGCTGCAGCACACACACACACACACACACACACACACACACACACACACACACACACACACACACACACACACTTGCAGATCAGAATAACAGGAAGTGATTTGGAGGGGTCATGTTAGGTAGACAGTCCCCCCCCCCCCCCCCCCCCCCCCACACACACACACACACATCCTGTTGGAGATGTGTGGGTTCCTCTTTGTGCTCCTGCAGATCTTCGAGACTCAGTTTGAATAAAAACACAGAAGCTTTTCCTCCTTAGAAGAATCCTCCATGAAGCAAAGCAGCACTTGACATTTGGCTTCCCCTGCAGCAGCTCCGCAATGCCTTTTAGGATTATTTTACATCTCATCATCATCATTAATGCGACGGTGAATTTAATCATCCTTGTCCTTGCAAACCTAAAAGAAGCTTGAAATTACCATCTGCATTGATTTCTGGACAACCCATAAAGTTACTTTAATTGCAAAACTCTCAGAAAAATTGCAGTGAAATTATATATATATATATATATATGTGTGTGTGTGTGTGTGTGTGTGTGTGTGTGTGTGTGTGTGTGTGTGAATATTAGAATTTTTTTAATTTGCTTTCAAATTTCAACATTTCACAAAATATAAAAAAAAATGAATATTTTTTCCAGGTTGTCATTGTGTCAAAGATGCAATTTTTGCACATTATTTTGAAGTTTTAAACAAATACTTAAAAGCCCTTAAAAACTTTTAAAATATGGTTAAATATGGACCAAATGAAATGTCTAAAATCCATTTTATTTCTAAAACATTTGTCACAGTTGGATTAAAAATACAAAAAGAGTTATTGGATCATAATTTTAATAAACAAAATACTAAATAATTTTGAGGAGGAGATGACTTGCCTGAGCAAACTCATCTCTTTCTCCTTTAATATTGTATATTTCTTCATTATGCAACCTTCATGCGATGTTGGAACGGCTGTGGGGAGGGAGCAGAATATTACAGCACTAAGAGAACATTTGCATTCTGACTGAAGCTTCTGGAGAATATCTCACCTGTTGATAGCTGTCTCACTTCTGCACTTAAACTTTATACAGAACTATTCTGATGAAGAGAATAAAGACATCAAGTCTTCCAAGGGTTTGAAGCTTCTTAAAAATAACATCAGCTTGAACAATACAAATGAACACAGCCCATCACCAGAAAAGACCAATTTTTACATTTGAAATGACTCATGACTGATAAAATACCAAATGTCTGATTGGAGCTAAATGACTTAACTTCTTAGTTAGTTTTGTAGTTTTTCTTGATTCTGATAGTGGATCAGCCATGTTTTGGCCAAACTGCAATGATTCTTACAACTTTCAAAAGGGAAACAAAAGCAAATGAAAAAGTGAAAGACTTCCGTCTTAAACTGATGTCTGAAAGCTCAGACCTTAAATCAGAACTCACTAAAATAAAATAAGAGTTCATTCAAAAGTCCAACAGCTTCGAGCTGATTGTTGTTTTTTTAAATGAACAAATGAAAGTTTTTACACACATCTATGCAGCTCAATATAAAACAATTAGCACTTTGTCTGTCGTTTCTATTTATACAGCAACAACAATCAGATCAAAGCATTTATAATGAATACCAGTTTTCCATCTGGCTCTAGTTCGATGTAGGCTGACTGGCTGGCAGAACACAACTAAAGCTCCAACCCAAGGCAAAGCGTTAAACATTTACATGAGATGAGCTTATTAGCAGCTTTTACATGAAAGGTGTCAAAGAGATAGGAGTTTAATATTGTTTTCACCTGATCACTGCACAGCTAATATCTTATTTAATATCCAAACCTAATGACTGTTTCTAAAAGCTTTTTCACAGATGTTGTACGTGTGGACTAGACGGTGGTACACACCACCTTCACTGCCCAGAACGTTCACTCTTTTCATTACTTCTATATAAAAGTACATTTTTACTGCTGACCATCTCCAATGCTGACAAACGGAATCATGACTATTTATCTGTTTTTGCAGAAGACACCCTAACCAGTTACTCCACAGAACTCCTGAAGGAGGTTGCGTACATTTTTGAGTCAAACATATCGGCAAAGATTAAATAAATAATAATGAAGAAAATGTCATTTTTTAAAAACTGAAAACAGAATATTTTATTTCCAGTGGCTGCCATGTTCGAACAATCAGATTTTCTAGAATAAAATAACTAATTGCAACAAAAAGAAAGAAATATAGGAATGAACAGGATAATAAATCACCTGAAACATAATTAAAAACTTTTTTTTTTTCATTCATTTTCATGGATGGAGCAGGACTTAAAGCTTTACTGCAGCCAGCCACTAGGGGGCTACAAATGATGCTGTACGGTCTTCTGTGCAGATACTTCACATCTGAATTGTAAATGCATGACAGAAGGTCTGTGTACTTACAGAAGGACAGCAATTTCACCACAACGATACAGAAAAAGAACATTAGGTGTTACAATGAAAGAATGTCTGTAAGAAACATAAGAAACACTTTTTGTTGCAGTTTTCATGAAATCAGTGAGTGAAACAATCTATCAGAGAAAAGCGGAGTCTCACGGGGTTGTGACGTCGTCTGCTGAAGGTAGGAGATGAAGCACAGCAGAGGAGGAGGGGCGAAAAAGCTAAATTCATTCATTTTCAATTAACTGAGCTTGAATAAAATCCTTCACTGTGCATTTAGATTTGAAACTCATCCAGACCACAGTCAGGTAGCAAGATGTCCACCAGGCCTCTAAATAAAGCCGTAGAAGAGAAAACCGAGTGGATAACATGAGACATATCTAACCAACGCTGTTGAAGACGA